TAGTGGTTCAAATGTCAAAAATCCCTTTATTAGGAAAATGGCAAATTTCTTTATTAATGCAAAGGTGACTTGGTTTATCGTTACTGTGACAAACGAAAACACTTTATTTGATGAATCCTTAAAGAAAATTTTAATTAATATCAATCAGGAGAAAAGTTATTGCAAAAATATATGTTGATCCCTAGACACTTTTGATGTGTGTATATTCAGTAGCGATTTTAATTGAATATTTTGATTATTTATTTATTTTTTCAAATTAAAACTGAACTTTATTGACTTCGTCCTTTTCCAGACTTTTTATTAATTTATTGTAATTAATTATTTTCATGCAATTAAAAACTAATTTTAAACGAAGCCAATTAAGGATAACTTCTCACGCGCCTACATAAGTGCACGCACCCATTTTTTTTTTTATAGCTAGTGAATGAAATATGTATATGTACATACAGATGGAGCTAAAGAAGTTTCACTTCAGTCGTCTGGTCATAAGCACACTCGTTTTTTAGGTTTTTTGTGTGTCGGTGGTTTTTATTCGCACTAACTTTACGTACATTTGTTTCATAAGTAGGATAAGACAGTAGACAAGTTATTAACCATAGTTTCAGAATCCTATTTTTTATATGCGTGAAAACGTTCATTCTATATAGTTATGTTCTTTCTCTTCAATAGAGAGGAAATATTATTGTCATATAAATAAGGGGGGAAAAGATATACCATCATAAAATGCATAATTACTTATTTTTTACGGCTTTTTATGGCATATATTGAAACGATCATCAAAAAGATAGTAATTAACCTTTAATAAAATATGTATAATTGGTAATCTAAAGCCGGGTACTCATTAGCGAGCTGTAACCGGAACCGTTGCATGCACTGTAACCAAAAAGCATAGTGTGTACGTGGTTCGCTAACCTGCTGCACGGTAATATTACCTATAGAGTATTGTGAATCGGTCCTGTCCTTGAAATAACTGCCTAGGGCCGAGCAGGGCATAAACACAGGGCATAAAATAAAATAAATGTTATTTTTAGGTAATAATCAATAAAAAAATATTATAGATTTGTGACAGAAAAATATTTACGCCTCGACTGAGATGTACGAAAAGCTTTATTATTAAATTTAATATAAATACGCTTTCGTATAAAAAGTTTAATTAAAAATACTTTAGGGAAACATTGGAAAGGAACAGAAACGAGAATATCTTTAACTTGGTTATATATACTTTACAATTGATATGTTTTTTTATTGGGTGCGTTATTGAAGAGTTCAAGCAACCAAAAACAGCACAATATCGACTATTGCTCTTTGCCATATTAAATTATGTAGGTATCTACTTAATTCAATCAAATATTCGCAATACAAATCGCACGTTTAAGCACGGCTAACTGCTTAATAATTCACACCGTTCGATCGTCGCTGCGGTGCATTCGCGCGTATTTTGTACGAAGATAGAATACTGTATAGATAATATTACCGTGCCTACTGCGAGTCGAGCGATACGCGTGCGGTTTGCAGCGAGCCGACGGACGTTTACAACTGAGCTACAAGCGTACACACTAGAACCGCGTCGCGTACTGTATCACGCATGTTACGGTTACAGCTCGCTAATGAGTACCCGGCTTAACCTAACCTTTAGGTTAAGAATTTGTATTTTTTAGGGATCATTTTTTTGAGGATCACTTAAATATTATATAAAGATAGATTATGAGGGTTTTCACATTATTATTTTTTATCACTATTTTAGATGTTTCCAATGCAGTGAAAGTGTAAATAAACGTAGCCGTGCCTACTACCGCAATCAAAACTCACATAGCCATGAATTATTCCCAAGGGACAGAACAGGTGTCTTTTAATTATACCTGTAAATTTACTTGGCTATTAGGCACATCGTATTAATAATAGGCAAGCAGAGATGTCGATTCTGACATGATACTCTAAACTTAAAACTAAATTTATGATCAGTATCTCCTTTTCATCCTGCATAGAGAACGACAACGACGACAAGGATACGATGTTGTCAAATTTAATTCTAGGGTAAGGGAGAGAAAAAAACACGAGTCAGAGTGTGTGTTATGACCACACGACAGAAGTGAAACTTCTTTAGCTCCATCTGTATGTGTATATATATATATATGTATGTGTGTGTACAATATTAATTACATTCAATTAAAATTTATAGGAGCTTTACAAAACTGAATGTCATACCTCCAGTGATCTTTTGGCATGGTTTTTAATTTATAAATTAAGTAATTTGAACACTGTTTTAGGCGGGTTTGATTGGAAATTATTTGAGATTCAAATTCAACGGGCTTGAAACCTCCGGACTGTAAAAAAAAATAGTTTGACCAGACGCGTAATTATACCGTTTTGTGCGCCAGCTCCTCATATATACATGTATGTACATATACATATTTCATTTACTACCTATAAGAGGAAGAGAGAAAGAAAATGTGCGCGCGCAATGCTTTCTCTTGCTTATATCCCTCACTGAACTCCCGTTCGCCTCGCCCGAACACACTTTTCGTTACTCGTAACGCATTCGCCAAATTACCCCCCCAGTCAAGCGTGCGTAAAGAAGTTCACTTAAAAAAGGTTAAAGGAATCATGCCAGAATCGACACCAGGGACTATTTTATTTTTACCAGGGTAAACATGGAGGGTATGGCATAAAAAGATACTACTACTACTATATCATTCAAATCCTGGCATTTAGACATCGGCCTTTGACAGCACGGAAAATCATAAAAGACATTAGGCAATTTCTGTTACAGATTTCGTAAAAACTCAGACGCGAACTTTGAAACGTGGAAAAAATTATACATGGCCCATCTATCAAAGGAATTAAGTTGAATCTTGGCGTCAACGATGTATTATACTGATGCAAAAACAATATCATTAATATACTATTATAAATACAATAGATCATGCCAAGAACAGAAACTCAAGCTATTAAAGTAGCCTTACATATTCTAAAGTGTCATTTATTTCTAACTAGCCGCCCAGGCACGGCTGCAATCTACTAAGAAAACAAAAACATAATATTTGAAACTGCCCAACAGTATTTTTTTTTATCTCCGTGCAAAACTTAGACCAAACTACCCAAGCCAACTAGTGCATTTGTGTATCTTTGTATCATTCCCAATTCAAAATAGGACACCATGTTTAAAAGTTTATTAAATTTATATACAGCTATAAAGAACTTTAATTAATTGCATAGTATGATGGATGGCCTTATACTGCAATTTATTAACACAATGATAGATGAGTCGGGTTTTTTTTTCACGATTTGGCAGATGCTTTAGCTGTACAACTAGTAAATAAAAAGCACAGAAGGAAAATTTATTCATAAATATAACACGCTTCAAAACCAATAAAGTCAAAATAAAACAAATATCATAAACACAGCAACTTCTGATTTCGATGTGTGTCTGATTATAAATTATATCTGATACTTGAAAATGTGCAATCAACCTTATGACCCACAAAATAACTGAACTCATTATAAATAAGATCTCACGCCTCAAGTGAGGCTATATTTACCGAAACGGATTTTACGCTCCTGGTACTCAAATGTAACATTGTTCCATTCATAATTGGAACTCACTCTACTCTATAATTCTGTGGTTAAATTATGATAAAAGAATACACGGAAACACACGAAAGTAGACCTTCTGTAATTTCAATTTTTTTATGGTCGATGACACGACAAACGCGTCAATTCAGGATGTCCACCACAACTGACGCGAGACCCACTCTAAACAAGTATTCGCTGAGAAATCTAAACGTACAAATTATTTTGTTGAACTCCCAAAGTTCACTTGGAATTAATTATAACTTTGTTGAAGAGCGCTTATAATAAGACTGTCTGATGCTGAAGGTTATATTTATACCAACTTTAGAAATATTATCCCTCGAGGATATAATTTTTGTTTCTTAGAGATCAGAAGACTTTAGTAACTTTAAACATTATTATAAATGGCTTTATGTATGGCGCTCTGTTCTGCCTACCACTTTCAATTTGTCACCAGGCAAAAATCTGGTACCACTGAACTATAACGTCTGCTAGTGTACTGCCAGAATGACTCTAGCCAGGAATAGGCCACATGTCATTTCGTGGACCAATTTAGCTTTGTAATTGTGTTATTTTTATAACTAAGAATCCTTCCAGTTAACTATTACGCACAACTCACAAACAATATACACGAATATGACGAAACATTATAAGAAAAATTATGAAAACTGGCAAAGCCACAAAGTACTTGCTGTAGTGTCCAATCCATCAAAACAAATTAATACCTTTGATAACGTAGCATCGAAAGTTTAACTTTTTTTTTTGAGAGACTCAATAAGAATAACTGCATATAATGCTGACATGAAGCATCACTTACACTAACGACATGGTGTATACTGGACGGTGACTGGACTCTGGAGCGTATGACGTCATCGGTTACAACCGCCGGGTCCCTCGCCAGTTCGGTGGCAGGCGACTGACTCCTGCTCGACCCCTTGCTGTGTACGTGCGACACCTAATCACATAATAGGCTTTGAATTAAACATGCGTTTTTTCCTTGTGTTTGCTGTTGACGCAGATGTCCTTTACAGTGTCACCGAATTTGGGGAACGGCGAGATCCTTACTAGACCTCAATCCAAGAGGGAAGTGGTGACTGCCCTTGTGTTCTGATATTATATCCAAGACGTTCATAATCTGTTTAAATGGTCGCTAATGGTGTCGGATTAAGATCCTCATCTCATATAAACCTTAACCCTTTATGATTAAACGAGGAATAATCTTGGACTAGTTAAACCGTGTTTTGTTCCACTTCACTCCAACGCCACTTGCCATTTAATGAACAGAGTAAAAACAGTAACTAATTCCAGCTTATTTTTCGTTTATTCATAAGGGAGTAAAGGATCTTTACTCTGAACCGAAAACTTAAATCTGTACGATTCAAGTTTGAATATGAATAATAATAAATAATAAAATATTAGTTAATAAAAACCTGCAGAGTATCCATCTCAATCACAGCTCTGTGATCACAGACATAAGGAACTGGTTTCTGTGCTCGAAGCAGGATAACTCGTTATGGAGGTGGTTCTGTGCTCCATTCCTTTTATTTACCTGGAAAGAGCAAAGAGACTTTATTGTAATGATGAAACAGTCAGTACATTATTATTTTTAAAGCTAAATAACAGTTTAGTCATACATAACAAACTGTTGCTAGGAGAACTGCAAAACTCGTTTTACAAGATTCGGGAAAGGAAGAAACACACAGCGATTTTGCTCGACACGTACAAATAAAAGTAGCCGTAAAAGAGATGTGAAAGTTTCTGAAGGCTGTTTAAGGAGGCTTTTATTTGGTTAGTATAAAAGCTATTAATATATTGCGTGAGCTTATAAATTCGTCGATAGTAATTGCCCGGAGAATTTACGTTGGAAGCAATCTCAGCTGAACGTAGTTGAGTATAGTAAACTCCAGAAATAGCTACTACACCACACATAGTGAGGTCACTGGAACGTTTTAACGGAGCTCATGTCAAGGGCGCATTCAGGATGTGCAAAATTATCGGTTTCCGGGTCAAATAATTTGGACGCTTCTAGATGACATCGCGTGCGTGGAAAAAAAAACGTTTGTTCTTTTTATTTCAATCAGACAGCTTTCTTCAAATATAATCGAACTTCACTGCGGTATTTTCAATCAATCAACCCACTTGTGGTTTATAACATTTATGTACATTATGTATCGTATTGTGAGGGACTGGTGCCTGAATTGAGTTTCAGTGAAACTTGTGACACAGACTCAGCTGACGAGGCTCGCACCCAGTTTTAGTACGCTAAATTTTAAGTGTTAAATAAGTATGTAGATTTCCTTTTTATGAGTGGCGATTTACCACTACATGAATTTGTAATTGCAGTCAAATACCATTCCAACATGATTTTAAAGGTTGCATTGCAATGCAATACAACCTAAGTTCGTAGCAGATAAACAGAGATAATGGATTGAGCATTCCCTGTCCAAATGTAAAATAACAAAATTAACTGAAAGAGAAACAAGTGATCGGGCGGCTCAGTTCCTATAGATAGGTCATCCATCAGCCTATTCTCGTACTATTTTGAGACGCAATCCTTCCTTATGGATTGATTAGGGGGATTGGTCCAATGCGGATTGTCCGCTACTTGTTGTGTGGGACTCTCCTCCGTGGACTTATCAAACGGAAATTCATTCAATAAATCCTCGGAGACCTACCCACTAAAAACCCCGCGCCACACCTGTTGGGGAGTGGTACTCGAGTCACCGGGCCACCCACTTCCTATTGGGAGGACCTTCTAATCTCCCCCTCGCAGGCGGGGAAAGCTCAGGCACGTGAATCCCCTCCTCAAACAGGTGAAACCGTGCAATGTGCAGGCGGTTTTCAGTCACCTGACACTGGCCCCAGTAGAAGAGTGGATTTCGAATGTGGATTTTATCTGCTCTTTCTAGGGAGTCGACAAATTTATGCTAAAATCGCGCAGACCATTATTTATTTCTATGGTGGCACCACAGACATGTCAGTTTCGATATCTAGCCCAGACACAATCGATCGGTGACCTGATAACGTAACCATAAATAAATTGATGAGCGGTTAGTGCACCGATGACGCTCAGTCCTGCCATTTTACTCCAAAGGTCCTGGGATATAAATATTATAATTCTAGTAGCGCGTTCATTTCTACGATGAGAACAATCATTTGTTACTAGGTTATCGTCGTAGTTAGCTAATTTAAGTATCCTATAGCATTATTTAGCAACCGTAATACAAGTTCTGCTAAGTTTAAAAGTAAATTTAACTTTAACTAATTTCTTCACTCCATGCGTGACTATCCACAACCATGAGATTGTGTTGTATTTTTTACCACGTACGACAAAACTTTGGAATACATTATAGCCAGCATTGTTTCCGATCGAAATACGTCCAGAAAACCTTCAAACCAAGAGCGTTGTATTTCCTTAAAGGCCGGCATTGCATTTGTGATACTCCTGGGAGCCAATCGCATAACCAGATTACTTTGGAAAACGCTATCGCTTACGATTTCATTTTGTTATTTCTAGCCGCCTGATGTTTTCAAATGCCTTGCGCTCTTTTTTTTTTGCATTGTTAATAACAATATTAAAGAAAATGAGCGTGAGGTATTTGAAAACCTTCGGCGGTCAGAAATAACAAAAGAAATCGTAAGCGATAGCGTTATCCAAAGTAATCCCGCTAGGCAAACGGCCCCCTGGTGTTGCAGGTGTCTATGGGCGACGGTGATCACTTAACATCAGGTAAGCCGTCATAATATAAAAAAACTATGGAAAAGTGGTTGGTGTTGAAAACATGTTGTGTAAATCATTGTAGTCTGTTTGCATTCCATTCAGTACTTGATGTAATGAATAGAAAAGTATTTTTCAATATTTAATTTACTAACGAATATTGATGAATTATTATTGAATTGAAATTATTTACCCCATTTGCGTTCAACACGCAACTGACTCGCACAGTAATATAATCGCCTCTAAACCTGATAATCATGAAAAATCACGTTCCGAAATAAGTAATGAAAATAATAATAGATTCCACAGTAGTATTCATTTTATATTTGAACGCCTTGTCCGGTTAGTCTAGAATACTAGGTCAAACAAAATGACCTAAGAATTAAATTTTCAATGACACTACATATTAACTAACTAAACTTAAGTTAAATATGTAGACGCTCTATTTCTTGGTTCTAGGTTAGTAAATAAGGCACTGTTATACCTATCATTAAACGAATTTATTAAATTGTCGTTAAAATGTTAAGCCTTCGATTACATATTCATTTTTGGCGAGCTTAATCAGTCTAAGTATCTTTTACGAAAGGTGAGCGGGTTTTTCACGATATAAGGACATGATTATATAGACTCGGTAAAAATGGCGACATGTTTCAATTTATTCTAAAACCAGGTTTGACTTTGGCTGACGTAGCCAACGACATCAAAAAACTAAATGACCATCGTGCGCGTCACTAACTTATTTTTTCATTACTTTTAACGAAACAAATAAGTAATATTTGTATTGCTTTTAAGCAATTTTCACATGTAAAATCACTAAGGAAACTTCGGCATACATGTGTGGGTTAGAAAAAACTTTAATAAATTGAGAATTTTAAAAACATTGAAATATATCTCGTTCTATCTTGGTGTCGGCACAAGTCGGTGTACAATCAATCAAGATCAGAAATCGAATTCCGTTGATGTTTTACATAGCTGGCAGATCAATCAGCCTCTCACCTGCGGCGGTGTGCATACTTTGCGAATTACTGCAAATTTAACCAACGTCTGCACATCGAGCTCTTTCTATGCAGTAACCAATGCGTTTGGTCTGCTATAATGGAGGTTAAGCAACTTTAGAATAGTGTCCCAATAAATGTATTATTTCGAGCTTCTCCAAACATTAGTGGTCAAGTTGGGCTCGCTGATCCCGCAATTTACAATTATGACAAACTACAACTAACAAACAAAATACAACTTTTTCAAGGTAAAGGCATTTTGAATCAAACTTCTGAATACGACGAAGCGCTAAAATAAATCGCAAAAACCACTTTTTTAAAATATAGTCTTTCATTATCAGCACAAAGGTTGACATGTTCCTTAAAAACTTAAGACGTTCCTCTTGAATTCCGAAAAGGATCTGCTTGATACAAGAGCCCCAACAAAAATTGGAAACAAAAAAAAGGCAGCAGGTATGTTCAGAGTACTTAGAGAAGGTGGGTCTGGGGGTGAAAATGCGAGGTAAGAATGGGGAAATGAGCGCCTTGTTACGAGTATAATAAGTTCATCTACCTTCTGAAATAAGTAAGTACTTAGAAATTTTTGCTTTGTTTGCTACGATGTCATGCTGAAACGGTTGCAAGAGTTTAAGTTTGGTAATATATTCAATGAATTAAAAAATACTTAGAACTTTTTTGGTTTAATTTTCATTGAATACACCAGCTTATAATTTTCGCAGGCAGTTAGAAAAGTGCAGAACTCTAGATCAACGTAGAGGGGTTTTTTGCAAACGAATAAGGAAGTCTCTTTCAAAGCTGTTTTTCATCACACGTAGGTATTATAGGTTAATGCAATTTTGTCACAATCGCAATCAAACGTTACGTTCTCCGAATGCTGTAAATGTGTCTGCATTGTGATTGTGACCATCGCAGCATTGTTTTTACGGGTAGTTCACAATGAATGGCAGGCAGCCCGAGCCACTTCCCGCTCTACTTACAAACTGCTTTCACTACTTGCAGACGCTCTTTTGTTGTGCACTTAAGTTAAACCTTAATTACATTTGCAACAGATCACATAATTAAAACTTAGTGAAACTGCAAGCACCAGTGTAGTTTTTGAATCGTTTAGATACTATAAATATTCAAAACTTTCACACTTATTTTTGTGTCACATAATGATTTGTATTTTTCTTTTACTTCTAGTGCCTCTCTTATACTAAAGGTCAGCAGTTAATTTCCGATATTTGATCATGATCACATGATCATTTAACTTAAATATTGATCTGATTGATTGTAGATGTCTACAATCTATCAGATCAATATTTAAGTAAAAAACTTCACATATCATGTTAACTAAAGAACTTTTATTAGGTGAATTATTTTAACATGTCCATATTGTAACCAAAGTGGCGTCATTTTATTTATTTTGGGATATTTAATACATAATTTAGAAGTTTATTAAATTCACAAATGTTTTTTAATAACGAAGACTGTATAAACTACTTAATAAGAGAGAAATGAAACTTATTATGAAAGGAAGAATAGTTTTGATATTAGATATCTATTCCAAGGATATCGATGACGCGTCAAAGACTAGACATTTTATGAACACTTCATTTTTATGGTGCTGCACATATGAAATGGTTTTCGTTTGAACCACACGCTTTAGTCATTAAAAGAGACGTCGTTCGGTTGTCGGAACTAAAATTAAGACTGTGCAGAATTTATATTGCAGGTTTACCGAAGTTTGCTCTTATGTAATAAATATTAATATTTTTACAGATTTCTTTAAAGTACTACATCTTTTCAATATTTCGTATGATCTAGGCGTGAATATAGAACAAGCGTCAGTGCTTACGCCCCCATTAAAGTCGCTAAAAGTTTATTAAAAAGCAACACCTAATTCTGGTATT